TTCTTTTTATTTGTTTGAAAATCAACTTTTTTCCTTTACCTCAAAAGTGTAACAATAGAATTAAATCTTCCAATCATAACACTGGCTCCATCGGTTGTTATTGAAAGACATTTGCTGAATCTTCTTCCCAACAAGACAATTGATCTCCAAACCCAAAATTCTACATCCACCGCTTTTCCGTTTCCAAAGTATTGTTTAAGAAATGTTTTTTTACTTTTATTTGGCGTTCTTTTGAATACACAAAACGAACAATGACACCATACACTTCCTTTCCATTTCTTTTTGTTAAGTCCAATTGAAGTGAAAATCCAGTACATTTCTAAAAGTCTTCACTGATATTATTGTATTCGTCACAATTGAGCTCCATAACTCTTCTTTCAATTGACGAGTGGCTACATGAAAGTCGACTGATTATAGTTGTGTTGGGTGCAAGAGATTCTATTAAAAGTAGTATTTGTCTTATGTAATCGATCTGTGGATTAGAAAAATTCGCAAGGTTTTCAATTTCCGTTATAATAAAAGACATTATGTCTCCACACGCTTTATCGCGTTCAGCCACATCAATGTAATTTTCATTTATATATTGTTGAATTCCTGTGGCTAGATTAGTGATATCAAACTTGTTATTACCAAAATTATGTTGTAACAATTTTACAACAAATAATCTCAATTCTAAGGCTTTTTTCTTTTTTCTTCCTTTAATTTTCTTTCCACAAATACAATTTTACCATTTTCTTTCAAAAGTAGACTTTCAATTTCTTCCTTTTTGCAATTAATTTTACTTTTTTATTAGTGTCCTCTTCGTTTTCATTGCTACTTTCATCGGAATTTATCATAGACAATTGTAAACCCATTTGAAATTGTTTCCAAGCATCTCCAAGTGAAAATGTGTTTATTTTTGAATGTTTTCGTTTCCCTTTTTTACCCTTCCTTTCAAATAACACTTTTCCTCTGCAAAAGCAGTGTACACTTCTGGATACTTGTTAAAGTGTTTTTTTACATAATCAAAAGCATTGGTACTAACTTCACAAACAAATTTTGTGTGTCGTTTTCGAGGATTTTCTGTGATATCTTGTAGTTCGTAAGTGTGGGAATCTTTAAAATGTGTATTTTTAGATGTACGGAGTCCCACCCATTCACAAAAAGGACAGAAAAACACTGTTTCGTTGTTGTCATCACAACCAGCTCGTACCATTAAATATTTTGTAAAATAATCATCTCTGCGTTGCTCTGGTTTTGTTCTCTTTTTCGAGTATGTTATTTCAGAACCATTTTCTTTATTTACTATTTTTTTACTGTCCGTTTTTTCATTTGTTTTAAATAGTTTAAGATGAATTTGTACAAAAAAACACATATAAACCAGT